TTCACATTGCCGCCTCCATGGAACCTTCTTGGAGGGTCTAATAAGTATATTGCATTTAGTGAGCCTTATACCCATCCCACTGATGTGTCCTCATGAGCTAACGTAACTGAATACCACCCAGTTCATTTTTCCTACACGGCGTTCTTAGCCAGATGATATTTAAGACGGATCCGCGAGCTATGTACGAAAATATCGGCTTAAAATATGGCAAGGTTCATTCTGCTGGTAATGAGCTGATCGAAGCAGCACCTTAGGCTATTAGCGGCAATTCTTCAGGTTGGCTGGTGTCTTGACAGAATTATTTTTATTTCCGAAGCTGTTTGAAAGTCAACGAGCCGAAATTAATTATCTCAACCAAGGCGAATTTATATAAGATGGTGTTACTAGATCAGCTGACGGCTTCTAATGTCAAATTGAAAAATTTTGTTTGAATTTCCACACACATTCTTACATATATTAATTCACCTTGATCTCAGCATTTTATTCTAAGTTTCCGTCTTTTTTGCTGTTCAAAGCTTGAGTGACTTCGGCTCATAAACTACATAAATAAAGGGCTGGTTGGGTATTTGTTTGATGCGGCTATTTACTGCATGAGCACGCAGCGTTTTTCTCTGCCCTTGAAATTCATTTTATTTGCAGTTACCTTTTCTAGACTGTGTTTAGTTTCAATGTGTTTTAAGAATTACTAAAAAATTGACCTATTTATCACAACATCAATCAAATCTTTAACTGTGTGCTTAAATGAGCTTTAGACTTTGACGCCTTATTAAGAAAAATAAAACAATTAAATTTTTACAAATGCTGAAAATCGAACTTTTACCCCAAAAGTCACTCACCTTTTAAGACTGCGAATTTTGGAAACAAATTGATTAGAATATTTATTTCTCATCACATAATTACGTCATAATTATGTTTCGATAATGCAAATACCGTAATAGTCAAACTTACTTTAATACTGACAGCCGAAAAATATGCTTTAAAAATGAGTATTTATCACCTTATTACATATGGGCTGAGCGAGAACGTTTATAAATTCTTTGTTACATATTTGTCTGCATGCAGTAACGTAGCCAAGATTTCGGCAAGAGGGTTTGAAAAAAAAATTTTGCGATAATTGATAAACATATTTCAAGGAATTTTCAAGGCGTAGAAATGGCCACTGTAATTGGAATTTTAACAAAAGTTGGGCCAACGATTTCTTTTTTTGGATCTAAAGTTTTTTAAAGGACCTATTCAAGTTGCTTCCCCCAAAATATGCATGCCTTGCAGTCTTTTTCTTGCTTTGACTAAAAGCAATCTTACTCTTTGCTTTAGTTTTAGCAAAGAATTTGAGAGTGCGAAAAATGAGAGTTCAACAACTCAATGAGCGCGAGATATAATTCTTTTTATGAACACAGACTCTATCATATCTTTATGCCATAGAGTAAGAGAAATATTTTCATTTAAGTTTAAGTTGCTGCCCGGTAAGAAATTCCAAAGTAAGGTTTCAATTAAGAAAAAAATTTTTAAATTTCATTTTATTTTTTAGGCATACATAAGAAGTAAATTAAAGATTCACATACATATACCGCTGAATTAAAAAATTTTCGAAAGAACTAAAAACTTCTCAAAAATATCCAAGTCACTTAAAACAGCTCATTTTCCCAAAATTTCGCGTTATAGCGAGTTAAATTTAAGAAAATTTCCTAAAAAATTGCTAAAAGTTATCGAAAATTGCTGGAAGTAAATATACATAAGTCGTTAAAAGTCTCGAAAACTGCGAATAATCATGAATCATTCCATTTTATTTCAAGCATTAAACAAAACAAAACAAAAAAATAACGGTTTTTATCTACAAAAAATATAAAGAGAAAAAGTTGTCTAGCTTTCTTACTCAAAATAATGAAAATCAATTTTTTGAAAGTTATTAAATATTCTTGTTACTTTTCGTTTTTACTATTTGAGCATTTATAAAATGCGAAGTTTCAAAAGATTATATAAATATAAATATATAAACTCACAAGTATTTGCAAAGTGTCTGGAAGTAATGCAAAACATTCTCGAAAAATTTCAAAATTTTCGAAACTTTCGTAAGGTTCAGAGGTAAGATATTTACGAAAAAATCGGTGAAAATCTCAAAACACTCGAAACCTGTTTCCAATATGCTTTAAAAAAAAAGCAACAATTTTCTAGTTTTATTGATATACATATATTTTTATAGCCAGGAGGTATCTTTAAAATATTTTTGAAAACGTGATATGAAAAATCTTGAACTAATTCATTTAAGTTTCAAAAACTAAAAATAACTTTTATGTACAGTCGATAAAAATCAATACATGTAATTGGTTCAATTTATGACTGTTGTATGTTTTTTTTATTGGAAAAAAGTTGTGCATCCTATATAAAATTTTAACAAAATTAAATTTGTAACTTTTTTTTTTAATTTTGAATGTGGTTGTCTCCGGGCGTCTGCTTGCTAAGTACAGGCATTAAAATTATAAATACATTTACACTCACTCTTTTTTTAGCACGCCATGTTCTCTTATTTTCACTGCTTGCTCTTATCCACTAACAGTATCATAAATTAGTTATGAGAGGGGTCATGACAAGTTTGAGCTTTTCAAGAGGCATGAGCAAAATAAAAAATTTCCTTGCGTAATTTAAGAACCTTTTTTTCATCATAAAAGAATTATATTTTTTTTTAATTAAAATGAGGTGCAGTAAAGAAAATATTCCAAATTTTTTAGTTCCTAATATATCATTTTTATTTTATTCAAAAATTGAATTAAAAAAGTGAGAAAATTTTATTAAAAACATTAAATAAAAAATAAAAAATAAAATATTTCAAAACTTTACTAAAAACCCTTCTTAACAAATTCTTTGCATTAATATGGGTGAATGAGTTAAAAAAATTTAAATTTAAAAAATTTACTAAGTGGAAATACATTTCCATTTAAGTTTTTAATTTTTATTTTTATTGGAATTAGGTGTGTGCAGTATTTTTACCATTTTTTTAAGGGCATTAGTTTTTAATTTTATAAAAAAAAAAATTCAAAAGCGTTTAAAAATTCTAAAAAATCCCCTTTAAATTATTAGCTGTAAGGGTATTCTTAGCAATTTTTTAATACCCAACATTTTTTTTTATAAAAAAGTATTCACAAATATTTGAAATTTTACTAAAAAACACTTTAAAAGATTACTTCACATATTTTTTTTTTAAATTAGAATGAAGTGCAGACAAGAAGATATTCCAAGCCGTTAAGTTCTTAATATTCTGTTTTGATTAAAGAAAAAATTTTGTTTAGAAGATTTTAAAGTTTTATTAAAAAAATATATAGAAAAAATTATAAAAAATATTTAGAAATATTTCCAACCTTTATAAAAAAAGTTGTTAAAAATTTTTAGCATTAATTTGCGGGAATGTGTTAATTTCTTACAAAATAACTTAAGGAAAATACCTTTTTTTTAAGATAATTTTTTTTTTATTGGAACTAGATGTAGGTAAATTAATGCCCTTTTAATTTTACAAAAACAAATATATTGAAAAGTATTTAAAAATTCTACTAAAATTCAAATTGAAATTAAACAAGTGAAAAAGTCTAAGTTCGGGCGGAGCCGAACATTAAATACCCGGCGCAAGTATTAAATATATGTTTTTCACCTTTCCGAAAGCTACCGCTACATGGTAAACCGAGGTGTATCCATTTTGAGTAAATTAGCGTCCTTAAATTTCGAAATATTGAAGTTTCAAGCATATCTGAAATTTACTGTTATATGAAAAGCGGCCGTAATTTTAGTTCGATTTCAATAAGTTTCAACGTTTTGCTTCTATGTGGCAAGTACAATAACCACAGCGAGTTTGGTACAAATTGGTAGAACGGTTACCGAGATACATATATGTGATCATAAGTGGGCGGTGCCACGCCCATTTTTCAAAATTGTATCCTAAACGTATTTCTTGGTAACGAATTGTTGCAAGCATCAATTTTGAATAAATTAGCTTCAATAATTACTGATTTATCGAAGATTTCGTATTTCTCTAAATTACCGTTATATGGGACTATTGTCCTATTTTAAAAATTTTCGGCCATTTCGTATGTTATACCAAGGTTAACAACTGCGCAAAGTTTGGAATAAATTGATGCAGCGGTTACCAAGATATACACATGTAACCATAAGTGGGCGTGGCTACGCCCATTTTCAAAAAAATGTTAATATTCTTATTTTTCGTCTAAAATTTATTAAAAATATCAATTTTGAGTGAATTATCTTCAGTAGTTACTAAAATATCGCAGTTTTTGTATTTCTGAAAATTACCGTTATATGGGAGGTAGGCGTGGTTATTGTCCGATTTTGCCCATTTTCAATACCATCCGTCCTACGCCCGAAAGAAGTGCACATACCCAGTTTCGTTAAGATATCTCAATTTTTACTCGAGTTATCGTGTGCACAGACGGACAGACGGACGGACGGACGGACAGACAGTCACCGCTTAATCGATTTCTCTTTTCATCCTGATCATTTATGTATACATTTGTCTATATCTATCTCGATTCGTTTTGCCTGTTACAAACAACCGTTATGTGAACAAAGTTATAATACCCTTGTGCACAAGTGCGCTCGGGTATAAAAAGTAGTTATTAGAAATACTCACATCTTTCCAACGACACCTCGGGGAAATGAAACTCGACCAAGATATGAGTTTTCTTTTAATTAAAATAAACTTCATTGTGTTATTTTCATTGTATATATTTTTTGTTCAATTTTGATTTTTAAAGCGGCTCTATTTAAAACATCTACTCGAAAATTTTTTATTTAAATTTTGACTAGTAAGGAATTTGCAACAGATGAGATATCAGGGGCTGCAGCCCCTTAGACAACCCCCCATACCGACGACGCTCCAATCGCTTTTACGTGTAGTGTGTTTATCAACAAAACGCAGCAGTGACAAAACGAATATTAAAAAACCAGCTGGGGTGTGGTGGAAATCACGCGGCATATTTTTGTTTCTTCGCAGCGTATATAAATCATTGTGGTACCAGCAAAGCTAGAGCGAGCACGTAAAAGTGGAGAGCAAGCATTGACTAACTGAGTATACAAACAACGCATACCTTCAACATTGTTATCAAACAGTAAGTTGTGAAATTTCTTTAACGCAAAACGATTTAACTTATTTCACATTTTTTATCAAATTAGCAAATCATCTCGCTATGGCCATGCGTCGTCTGCATTTGCTGAAATTTGCCTCCTCTAGCGCTTTAGCCAACCCAAGTACATCTACACGCACATTCGCCAACAGTGCCGGTCAACAATTCACCACGCTAAATGTCGACGACAAAACCGGGATCGCCACTCTCACACTCAACCGGCCGCCAGCCAATGCGCTCAACGCTGCTTCCATGAGCGAAATACAGCGCACCATTCAAGATTTGGAGAAATCCAAATGTCGCGGCCTCATACTCACCTCGGCATCAGATCGCATCTTTAGCGCTGGGCTCGATCTGAAGGAATGCTATCAGGCAGACACAGCGAGTTTGAAGGTCATATTTTGTGCGCTACAGAATTTATGGCATACACTTTTCGCCACACCCCTCACCACTGTGGCGCTAATAAATGGCCACGCCATGGCGGGTGGTTGCTTGCTGGCCGCCAGCAGTGAGTATCGCATTATGTTGCCTAACTTCAAGATCGGTTTGAATGACACAATGGCGGGACTTGGTGTGCCCATGTTCGTTATGGATTCCTACACGAATGCGGTATCTAGCAGGCGCATTGCTGAACGTGACCTCACCGCTAGTCGCGTATATAGCAGTGAAGAGGCGCTGCAGGCGGGCCTGGTGGATGAAGTGGCCACAAGCAAAGAGCAGGCGCTTGAGACGGCAGTGGCTCTTATTAATAGCTTTGAACAGCGCACTCTAACAGCGCGCGCTAAAACAAAGCTTCTATTTCGTGCAGAAATTTTGAAGAATTTTGAAAAAAATAGTCAACATGATTTGGACATATTTCTGAGCACCATACAGAGGCCTGAAGTGCAAGCATATTTGGGTAAATATTTGCAAAGTTTGAAGAATAGGCAGTCGAAGCAGGCAAAGGCGTAGAGCAGGAGGCGTTCATGATGCGATTGTTTGTGAATCGATACGACAAACAAAAAGTGTTCCTTATACTGAATGAATAAAATTTTTATTTAAAATAAATTTTAATTTTTGAATCCAAATGGCTTCGTCCAGTTTATCAACATTAAGAAATAAATAGTTGGCTTTTGATATTTGAATTGTGAAACGTTAAGAGGCAGATAGTTTCAATCAAGCAAATATGCTGATAGAAAAGAGAGGGTTAATAGAATGATGCAAGATGTCTCATGCACTCATATTTTGTTGGCAAATCAATGGCTTTCCCTTTTATGTAATCACCGGAAGATGACCGACTGCCTTTGGATGAGAAAATTGCACCCCACCTCATTCACTAAAATGCACAGCGTCGGCAATTGAAGACCTCAATCAAAAGTTACCATGCGCCCACACCATTCTGGTATTTTTATATCGATGACTGAGTGGAAGATCGAGCTATCTCGGCAGCTGTCAGAAAATTTCTCGAGAGCGCTCTATTTCAGAATTAAGCTCAAAACGTCCTACCTCAGCTACCGCTTCAACAGCACCCTATATCAGCATATTTTCTATAATTATATTCAGTTGGGTTAGGATGTTTTCGAACCTGCTGCCGAAATAGGTCGATCTTCCATTTGGCCGTCGATATGTAATTGGCTAGTGCTTTGGGCATGATCAACTTTTGCCAATCGTGTTTAATTTATACGTCTCCGAACACCTTTTGCTCCTTTCCCAGGAAGTCTCTATGATCTCAGGTGACACTCACTGCTTCATTATAACAAGGAACAACAGCCAGATAACACTCAGAACATGAATAAACTCTTACCTCAAAGACCACGTCTATCTTTCAGAATACGAAACATGCACATAGGCAAAAGGATTGAGGCTCGAATTCAACGAAGAGGTATACTGTACCATAGTTCCGATCGTAGGAGGCACTACAGTAGGAGTAATGAACTCAAATCACTTGACGGAAGTATTTAAGCAAAGGACGAAGAAAGTCTTATTATGAACCATAGGTACTAGCGACACTTATTGCTTTCACCTTCACACCACCATCAGAATTCCACCCTTCGAACCGTGCCTTCTTCTGACACCCCAGGACTATTTTGCGGCGCTACGGAATTGTTTAACTTAAGTTGATACTTAATATCTGTTAGGTTTGCACAAAATCAACAGATGCGCAAGAGATATCTGAACGAATCGTCCAAGATTCATTTCGACGCAAACCCGAACAGGCAGGTCTAGTAGATTAAGTTCCTATAAGTCTCGTTTCATGATAGCCATTACTGGAGTCAAAATACCACTTGCAACAAGGCTTCGTCCACGTGAGATCCTTACAACACTAAACTCGTCCAAATACATACTCATTGTAGATTTTATTAGCAAGCGAATATAATGGCCACAACACTGGCCTCGATTCGTAACGGTCGTGAACAAGAAACTCGTCTTATAAAAATGCGTATTTCGGATTACAGCAGTCGTGAACCTACTGCTCGTCTCTTAATTCGGTATATGTAATTCGGTATACTGTTATATTTAATCCGAAATATGAAGTTTTACGTGACGACTATTACGACTCGCCCTCTGGTTTGATATGCCTTTCCTTTTGGCTGGACTGTGACGAAGTAAAATGTTCAATCAACCTACCGTCACACAATTACTTACCTGTGTCGAGACAATTTTCGAGTTAAGCACCGTTTCGAGATCTATAAGGCCCTCTGGTTTAATAGTAAATCGAAAGAATTGGGAAATTGATCCTGTGATATCTTTAAGGCAATATGTGCGAAACGGATACACAAATGCGAAATGTCCACAGAACCTAAAAGACAAAGATAACACATGCTTTCCTATGCAGTCTAACAAGCTTTCCTTGCAACCATTCCACTTGTTAGGTGAAAAGTCCGACAGTAGATGCTCATACTTCTGTATAGATATATATATATATATATATAAGCATATCTATTTTTGAGGTCTGCTGAAAACGATGGTTATATTCCGTTTTTCGTCTGTGAAGCTTCTATGTCATATAACAACCGATCACATCACATGCGTAAAACAATCGGCTGCCGGAAAAAATAAAGCCAGTTTGTGAAAACTCAAAGTTATTGTGATCAGTATGCAAATTTTTTTTTAGACGGAAGTTGGTATCCATCAAGTAGCCCGTCTGTGTCTCTTCAAAATACGCCTTCCCTGAACCACTTCTACATTGCATCAGGGAGAGGCCACTGGATTTCGTTACCCAACAAATTGGCGGAGTATCCAAAGGTAAAATATATATAAGTATATTTTTCGTCAGCTGCTTATGCTGAACGTTACAGAAGTATGTATAAGTTGTCGTTGAATTTGCCTACCAACTGAGACAGGTAACTTTGCAATCATGTAAACCAAAGACTTCCCCACACAAGTTTATATTAAGATTTGCATAAAATTGCAAAGGGAATTTCGACAATATAACAGTTGATATGCAATGCTCACATTGGCTATAAACCTTTGGCAATGAAATACAAATTTGTTTTGCGTACAAATGCACAAACGACATATGCAATATGCAAACATTATTTCACCCAACTTCACCTATGGAATAGCAATGCATTTGTTTGTTTATCCCAAGTGCCAAACTTGCAAGTGAATAAATTTCTATGAAGAGTTGCTGCACATAAAGTTACTGGAAAGTTTTTATTGCATATTGCAAGTGAGCATTATGATGATTGCGCTATGTAATAATAAATGTGAATGATTTTTTCACAACTTGCCACACACAAAGATATTGTAAACATGAAGTTGCAAATGCAAATGAACTTGCGAAGTGGCATACTTTTAAAAGAATTAAAATTGGTTAAAACTTTCATGTAGGGCGTTATACTTGTATTTATGTTGCTTTGAGTACAGGAGATGACATGCTTTAAATTTATTGTACGTTTAAAGAGATCTGCGGTTAGCGATATGACAAATTTAGGTATGATGTGATCTCGTGATGTGGCGATGTGATCGGAAATCCCTTTGCATGAAATATATTTGGTATTAACGAATACCCGCTTCAAAAACTATTATGGCCTCATTCATAAGAAACCAAATATATTTAGAGAGCTTTATGTAGTGAGCTGTTCAAACCAATTTTCGATTTATGGAGCATTATATATTTTTTATAAATATAAGTGTTAGTCAATATATATTTTCGAAGGTATTTAGAAGGTAGGTTAAGTATCGGCTAACTCAATATTTACCTTATCAGTTTAAGCGAAAAACATTTTTTGAACAGTTGGCAACCCTTCTTAAAAATAATTTCGGCAGTAAAATTTCCAAAACTTCTTTAGTTTTATACCCAAATTGCAATAATTGCTCTCAAACCGCATATATATTTAATTGTTTGTGTTTGAGGGTACATTGTGTTTGAGGGTACAATATACTATTCATGAATACTTAAATAAGGCTCTTAAACAATGCTTTGCCCATATATGTAATAAGTGTTATATCTTGGGATATTTGAGTAAGGTTGCCACTCATTTTCCATTCTATAAAATTTAGCTAAAACATCGCAATGTGGATATCGGCTGAAAAGTATTTTTCAGAACTTTGGTCACAAAATATTTTCCCTCAGGATTGCCACACTTTAATGTAATAAAAATTTTTATTTTGTTAATTTCAATCAACATTTTTTGTATGTATACACAGTAAATATATGCTCAAAATATGTACCATATATTCCAGCGTATTTGGGAATAGGGTTGAGACCTAAATTTTAGAGTAAGGAATTTACGTAATAGATATCGAAATCTACTTTTTTATTTCCAAAATATTTTTTTAAAGCTAGCCAAATCTAGAAAACCTTAAAAAGTATATGCACTATGGGCAAAGCTCGCTCAACCTGGTACTAAATTTTGATGCAGGTTGTGTGAACTATTTATAATATAATATATATAATAATACACATATATTATATTGGTGTTAAAAGAAAGAGTTTTAGACATTAAAAATGAAAATGAAAAATTGGCAGAGGTAAAATGTTTTTGATTCAAACAAAAATTACAACTTTAGCAAGTTTTGCGTTGAAATTTGAAATGGTTTGCAATGCAAAACCAATTTTCGCAATTTCTGAAAATATCTCTTTAATGTGCAAGTTCTTGACCACTGATTTTTGGCGTTTGAACGCCACATGGGTTTTAATGATTAGGGCTTGAAATACAAATTTCATGCTTATTACCGATATTTAGGATGATGTTATGCAATGAGATATCACATGATGTGATATGATATTCCAAAGATTTTTCAAGCAGTCAAGATCAGAAAGTTGTTTGCAGCTGCATCTAAATTTTTGTTTAAGTGATTTGACGTGTGTCTTTCAGTGAGCAGCATACAGCAAATTCTTAAACATGTTTTTTAAAATCATAAGTTAAATGTGATGTGATTGGACTATGTGATGTGATCGGACTATGTGATGTGATCAGACGATGTGATGTGATTTGCCAATATGATATCCCGCAATACAAGGGGAAAAATTAAGTGATTTAAAAAGGTTTGAAATGAACACAAACCGCATAGTAATTATACAACCTGATCTCGCATCACGTGATATGAAATCATACGATAAGAGTTTCTAATCACCTTCCACTCTACACAAAAAAAAAAACCAAAAAATGTCATCTCCCTCTATGGTAAATGCTGCATAAAACGTGTTTAAGTGTTTCATTCAATTAGCAGTCACCACACTCACTTAGCCAAGCGCCGTAAATCTATGAAACTGCTTACCAGTAGTCGTCGTAAGTAGTACATCACTACAACCACGGTGCACCGTTGACTTTGTATCCTTGACACAACTATAGCCAAACCGTAATTAATGTGTGTACGGCAACAACAAATACGATGTCGAATATTCTTCTACTTTCTACACTCATTTCGAAAAGTACTTTTTGCATCCTTTTTCTAATGAACTTACTAAGCACAGCAATGGCGCCACTAACACTTAACTGGCTGGCCACGAGTAAACAAGTACGTTGAAGGTATGTATGTACTGCGTACACATACACACACCCAACCACTCTAAGGTAAATGCATTGCAACATTTCCAACGTGTTGAACTCATTTACTATTTTGCTGAGTATTTATTAGCTAGCGGGCATGTTGTGACCTTCGTTGAGTAGCAAA